ATGCAACAGGCGTGAATTTGTACGTATGTCGGAAACGCAGTAGGAGGTCATAAACACAGTTGGTAATTATTTGTATGAAAAACATATCGAGGCCATAATATAAAACAAATGAAAAACCGTAAGTATGGCGGAATCTGACGGTGCCTTCGTGTGCCTCGTGACGATGAATTCTTCATCGCACGCCGTTCGTCGCCATGGTAACGGATGTTCACAACCTCGCAAACCGAGGACCTGCTGGATTTTTCTGAGTTGTCATTTATATTTTGACCAGCAGGTGTCATCCGTGTACACAGAATGCACCGTGACACGTACACGTCATGCATATAAAATCTATGTATGTAACGTTGTCTCCGTATGCCACATTAAAGACTTATCACTGTTTATATATATATATGATTGTTAATAAAACCGAACAAAAATGATTATTATTATTATTATTATTATTATTATTATTATGTAGGATATTGAGCAAAAATTGGATGACCTTTTATTATTTATAATTTTATCTGTGGTTTTATTGTTCTTGTTTTGATCGTAAAGTGTCCTTGAGTGTTTTGAAAGGCGCTTATAAATGTAATGTATTATTATTATTATTATTGTCTTTTACGTATAATATGTTAGCAGCACAAGACATGGAGGTTTTCGTTCTAGTGCCATACACACAAAATTCCACAAAATATATAGATGCTGATGGGTGCTGAAAATATAGTCTGATCAGAAGGTTCACGCTGGGGTGGTCTACGGTAGTATGCTGCTCCACAGGAGCGAACCGGCGCCCACGTTTGTCTTCGCTATTGCCTCTTCCAATTTTTGGAGCACACGACACCTTTATCCCCATCCACTTTATCGAGGGCTCTCCCTGTAGAAAGGGCACGAAAAGTCAAGCATTTGGAGACTCCGTCACAGTCGTTTATAGTTGTCCATATACACTTGGGTGGGGTCATGCACAGTTTAAAAATAAAGTTCTCCGGGATTGTGATTAGAACTCTTGATTATCTCTGCTATTCATTTTATTGAACGTTCAAATGATCTAATAAAAATAATTTATTACTGTACTTCCACTCACAAGTCGGGGCTGTTATTTACTGCAGTCGGGAGGGATATCTATTGTTGGAGCAGGCCTTTATTTGTACAGACGCTTTTTTTAAAAATTGATTTGAGCCTTACTTTTGAACATGAAAACAAGAAAAACAATAGACAATGACCATTTACCACACATTCATGTTTAAAAGGAGTGGGAAGGAGTCCAGACTTCTATCCTTGCCCAGATTCTCTTAGTTAATATATTTATTCTACTTCCATCTTGTGACTACTACTACTACTATGACTACAATTACTACTACTACTACTACTAATAATAATAATAATAACAACATCCATCTAGAGGTGGAGGACTACAATTACTACTACTACTAATAATAATAATAATAACAACATCCATCTAGAGGTGGAGCCAATCCCATCTGATGTATGATTAAAACCTGGAACGGTTACCAGATCATCACAGAGGAAGGATTTACAAAAGTTGGAGCCAATCCCAATTATGTATGATTAAACCCTGGACCGGTTACCAGATCATCACAGAGGAAGGATTTACAAAAGAGAGCAGTGGTAAAATTAGCATTTTTTTCAGTCAACATTCCATTTCAGTGAATTCACATCTCACTTTGATGCAAAGCGCATAATGAGATACATGTGCAATCTGGTCAGGTTTGATATTAAAGATCTCTCTATCAAGCAGCAGGAGCGCTTTAGACGAGTGTAATTGCACATCTCAACAGTAGATGGCAGAAAAATGCTGACGTGATCCTCCCATGCACAGCACCATGTCGTACAAAGCTGACACTTTGGACTTGACATTTCATTAAATCACTGTATAATAAGCCGCATATGTATTGGCTCATTTGCATATCTTAGACGGTAACAGCTGTGAGATGCCAGAACAAAGCAGACGACGTGGATTAAACCCCAAGGCCTTGGATAGCGAGAGTTGGCGAGTCTCAAATTAGCACGTCTTATTTTGAAAGGGATCAAGAACGAGGGAAACAATTTTCAGAAGTTGTGATTAATGATTGTCCACGGAGGAAAGGTAATATGTGTTTTGTTTCTAGGCAACAGGTGCGACTGTGACCTCATTTTTTAGGTGGCTGTGCTTGGTTCCACGGAAATATTAGAAGAACGCACCAAATCATTCTGATACAAAGTACAGTACATGTGTGTGTTTTATCAGTAAACAATTCGAGTCGAAGAACATAATAACATCCATTAATATATACTGTAATAATATTCAGGGGAGCTTGGAATCAAGAATGGGCAATGCATGGCCAGCTGTGTTCTAAAAATGTCACCCCTTGAACATTAACAATATTGAGGCTCCTATGATATCTTTTTCCTTTTTTTTTTTTGGTCTTTTTTTCTTTTTCTGATTCTTTTATAATGGGCTAATTTATCATTTTTTTTGCAAATAAAAAATATTAAAACAAGTTGTAACGAATCATTTAATGAAATAAATATTTGATCAAAAAGATAAAAGTGGTGATAACTCAATTTTAAATGAGAAATAATTATTTTACCATTTAAATTAATTACTGAACATATTTTACAGACGTATTTCAACTTTTGGTTCTGAAGCGGGCAACAAACTGTTCCTCCAAAACAAGTACTTGTAAAAATATCTCATTGCTTCCAACCATAATCTCAAAAAGATCAAACTTGTTAAATCTACAATTTATTTCTGATTAAATTACAACTTCTTGTTGTGTAATAAAAAAAAATTTAAAAAAAGAATCAAATCATGCCAGCGTGGTCGACTCCACCATACTGTTTCCATTATTTCCTCTGGGATAAAATTATATGTTGCAAAAACAAACAAACCAGAGGTGGACCTGCGTTATTGGAAAATGTTGACAAATGTATTTAGTTATGGCAACAAAAGTGGGGAACAGAGTGCAGAAAGTTGGCTTCCTGCCAACAAACACTTCAGCTTTTTACAAAGGCCAAACATGAGCCATCCATCCATTTAAAATCATGGCAGCATCCTGTTACTTGAATTATTTTTTCTTATTCATTTTCAAGATAGATTTTTGTTGTTGTTGAATCTCTGTATCTTGCTTAGTAGCAACATGCTAATAG